CTAACGTTAGGAATGGAGACAAATAAATAAGCAGAGATTCATCTAAATTAACATATATTGAAACACAAAATGGCACAAGTACAGTAAATTCTACATGGTAAAGTAAAACAGTGACAACAACTAAAAAAAAACGTTGCCAAGAGAAAAATATAAAAAAGCGTGTTGCCACACATGTTGTAAAATACAAATGGGAAATATAATCACAAATAAAAGTTATTTGCAACACTCCCCCTTGATTAAATTTCCCTCAGTCCTACACAGAACCTTTGATTGAACAAGGCTTTCTTTTGCACACTCTTTGTGAACATGTCTGCTGCATTTGAACTGGAAGGCACATACGTAAAGTTTAACAACTTCTCTTCAACCTTTTCTCTCAAGAAAAAATGCCTGAGTTCAATATGTTTGTTACGCTCTGAAGTGACATGGTTTTTGGCTAAAGAAATGGCACCCTGATTATCAACAAATATGCTTTGTGGAAAGTTTAAAAAATGTTCTCCCACAATTTCTTTAAAAAAATTTTGGAACCACAGTACTTCCTTGGCTGCGTGGCACATTGAGAGGTACTCAGCTTCAACTGTTGACAATGCAGTCGTCTGTTGTTTCTTACTGCTCCATGAGACAGCTCCACCTGCTAGTAGCACCACATAGCCACTAAATGATCGTCTGTCAATCTTATCACCAGCCCAATCAGAATCACCAAACACTTCCAAATTCTTTCCTGTCTTTTGGAAAGTCAGCTTTAATTCCTTGGTCTGTTTTAGGTAACGAAGGATATGTTGTACACCAGCCCAATGTTCCTTGCTTGGGCAATTATTGAATTGGCTCATGTAAGTAGTAGCAAAAGCTAAATCTGGCCTTGTTCCTCCTGCTAGGTACAAGAGCCCTCCAACAGCCTGCCTATATTTTAATGCTCCTTCAGCATTCAACATGTTATCCTTAGTGGCTGTTGTATATTTCATACCTGGATCTAATGGTGTTGATGCTCCTTTAGCATCTTGCATATTGGTTGTTTCCAAGAGTTCACTAGCATAGACACTTTGGTCAAGAGTCACACAGCCTATCTTCCCCTTCTGCTTGAAAGATCCTAATTGAAAGAAGGTGATGTATTTCTCCCAAGTCCCTTGATTTTAAATGTAGCTGCAATATTATCCTTAAATTCCTGAATGATGAATTCTTTGCTGGACATTACAAGAAGATCATCCACATACACACCTACAATTAACTCCTTTTCTTTATTGAAGTAAACACAAGGATCTGCTCTGGACCTTTCTTGTTAGGCTCGATTGATTTCAGAATTTCATCGAGACACATATTCCATTCTTCTCCCAGAACTGATGAAGTCCATAAAGGCTTCTCTTTAGCAAGCAAACTTCCTCTTGTTGTTCTTCTCTGGACTTCCACTCACTGTTAATGCCTCTTCTAAAGTTTCAGGATCATTCTGGAAAGCTTTCTTGGGTGTGTTGAGCCTTCATATTTCTGTTTCTCGGATTGTCAGCTGCACTGCATTCCACTTGTAATTCCATTTATTTCTGGAGGATTTTCTTCATAAATCTCTGAATTTTCCATGATATAATCCTTTGTCCACTTAGGCGCTGAAATTTGTCTTCTGGGTCGAGTCTCCTTTTCTGGTATATCCTCCACCTCCTTCTTTTCCTGTTGAGGGCCTTCGTCTATTACTTTATTTTCAACTTCATCATCTTGAGATGAATTTCTTCCAGAAACTTGTGGGTGCAATGTTATAATGTTTCCAGTCATGGAAGGTTTCTCTTCAAATATGACATCTCGGGAACAGATTACTGTACTGGTTTCTTTGATGTAAATGCGGTACTTTTCATCTCCATCATACCCAAGGAGATAGCGTTTAGTTGCCCTTTTGTCCATCTTTCTCCTCTTCTGAACTGGGATATGAGTATAAGCAAGTCGATCCAATGATGCGCATGTGTTTTATTCTGGGTTTCTTTCCCATCCATAATTCATAAGGGCTTGAATTAGGAACTGAAGACTTGCCTGTCCTATTCAATATATAAATTGAAGTACTGACGAACTCTGCCCATAGGAAAGCTGGAAAGTCCACTTCCTCATTCGAGTATTTGAGAGTTCTGGCCATTTCTAGGACCGTTCTACTGTTCTGTAATCTCTCGTGTTTCGTAGCACTGCCATTTTGTTCTGGTGTATATGGAGCTGTGAGCCTCTGGGAGATTCCATGCTTGTTCAAGATCTTGCGAACGGCTTGGTTGTCAAATTCTCCACCATTGTCACTGAGTATTTCTTTAACCGTATGCCCTAAGTTTCTTAGCGTGAGCTATGAAATTTTCAAGCACATCTTTTACTTCTGATTTGTGCTTGAAAATTGTGCTTGAAAAGAAAAAACAGTATCGGAAATTTGGTGTAGGCATCTTTGAAGATTGCAAAGTGAACGGTATTTCCTAAATGACTGATCAAATGGCCCACAAATATCTGTCGAGAACAATTCTCCAGCTTTTGTAACCGCTTTCCTGGTTCCAAACTTTAAACGGTGGGATTTTCCGTATACACAAGCTTCACATAATTTCATATCAGACTTAATCTTAATATTCAACTCTTTCTCTACAATGGCCTTTACATGCTTTTTATCTTGGGTGACCCCATCGTTCATGATAAAATTGGAGAGTTGGAGAGTTGATTCATTATTCTCAGTCATGTTTGATGTCAATGTGAGTTTCAGGAACTAAGGTCTTCATCACGGCTTTGAAGAGACCCCCACCAGCATTTCTTGTTCCATGCAGAACTATTTCACCATCTATTTTTAAATAGCAGTCCTTAAATGTTGATTCAAACACACTGTTTTGATTTCTATCTTGAGATGCTAACACAGAAAATAGATTTTTACTTATTTCTGGAACATACCAGACATCTTCAAGATTTTTAATTTGATTCATCCCATTTACAATGGTCATTATCTTGATGGTGCCTTTTCCAATTGCTGGTAATGACTTTCCATTTGCCACAGTGATGCTATGAGGAAGCTTAAATCTTTTGAAGTCTATAAAGTAGTGCCTGTTATTTACGACATGCTTCGAGGCCCATTTTTAATAAACCAATCATCAGAATTCGTTTCTGCAGAAAATATTGTATCATCTACAGCTAGAAGTGTCATATTTGCAGCAACACTGTTTTTACTTCCCTTGTTTGGCCCTATAAGTGGACTGGGTTTCGGCGGTTTTCCATCAGCTATCCATTTCTTGCATGTTCTGACCCAATGTCCTCTCTGGTGGCAATAATTACACTTGCCATTGTTTTCTTGTTAATAGATGATTTCCGCTTAAATTCCGGATTTGCTATCAATGCTTCCTGATCTAAAGTTTCTAAAAAATTTGGATCTTTCCTTAATTCTCTTTCATGGGTGCACAATTGTGTGGTTAATTCATCTAAAGTTCTCTTTTCATCACTAAGAAGTAACCAACTCGATTTGAAAAGTACGATAACTGGGAGGAAAGAGTATCCAATATTTTACAAATCAACAGCATTTCTGGCAGTCTGTTTTCTTCCTTATTTTCAAGCCCACTGTTCAGTTCATTCCATAGATTTTTCAATTTTGACAAATGAGCTTGCCATATCATCATTTGACCAACTGAATTTGAAGAACTGTAAAAACATATGTTATAAAGTTGGTTATCGGACGAATCTTCGAATACTTTGTGAAGTTCCAGCCAAATGTCTCTTGCGCTGTCAAATCTCATTACCTTTTGTAAAGTTGTCTTCAGTCATGGAGTTCGTAAGAACCATCATAGCGCAATTATTTGCTTTATTAAAAACCTTCATATCATCTCTAAATCTCTTTCGAATCTCTTCGGCGGCCGCATGATCAGGCTCCTCTGGCTTCTTCAGTTTTCCTTCCACGACTTCTAAAGCGTTTTCGTGATAATTTAATACGAACTTAATTCTATATTTCCAAATAGGCCAATCACTTTTTCCGCATAACGGCTGAACCAATATCTTTGCAGCTTCCATTTTTGCAAACTAATTTGCCGACTCACGTAAGGCTTAAGAACTGCCGTGTTAGGCTTACGAACTGCCGGTAATGTTTATCTCCACTTCGCTCATAAATTTCCCCGCATAGTTATATCATGCTGGTACCCATAACCTGATGAAGTCTAACATTAGGAATGGAGACAAATAAATAAGCAGAGATTCATCTAAATTAACATATATTGAAACACAAAATGGCCCAAATACACTAAATTCTACATGGTAAAGTAAAAACAGTGACAACTAAAAAAAAAAGTTGCCAAGAGAAAAATATAAAAAACGTGTTGCCACACATGTTGTAAAATACAAATGGGAAATATAATCACAAATAAAAGTTATTTGCAACAATAACTGTTTATTCATAACTTCAAATTTGAGTTCACATATCACTCACACAGCGGTTCTCCGCCATTCTCTTCATCTCATCTCTCTGCTGCTCTCCGCTTGGGGGTGCTGCTGCTATTAGATCATGCGCAAACATACCTTTTTTTCAAACTGCTGTTGTTAAATAAAAGAGTGATCTAAGAAAATGATGAACACAAACTTAAAGGTGCGAAAATGGTGTTGAAAATTTATGATGGTTGCGGTATTGACATATAAAAAATAAAACACAAGTGAAATACATAAACATAACAAATGATGCCGAAAGTATGCAATAAAAAAGTAAATACTTGTGTTAACTAACAAACTGGTTCCAATACGAAATGGCGAAAAATAGCCATGTATTTCTTTTTTACGGTCTGGATTCAAAGTTCAGGAAAAAAGTGTTATTCTGCCTTATAGTGAATATAGCTGGACAGAAAGTTCTAGAGAATTTGAACAAGTAGAGACTTACTCAGAGGCTGTTTGTTGAACTAAACAAATGCAGGCATGTTGCAATAACAAGAATAGATCAGAATGTGGAGCAGGAAGGATTCCACAACAGCAACAAAGGGAAAGTAGCCCTGCAACAGTGACATTTCTGCTTGATGTCATCACCTGTGTTGTGATGTGCAAAACTCTGCCCCCTGATCTTTGTAGAAGTATATTACCTGCTGTTTGTAGAAGTATGTTACCTGCTGTTAGTCTGCTAGCATCCATGGCTCAGAACTGTCATTTTCCACTTTTTCATGTGAATGTTTGTAAAAGTAAGCTTTTACAGTGCAACTTGCACTACAACTTCGATGTAAGAATCTTTATCATTTAGCAAGAAAGCATAAAGGACTGGCTGAACAGATTTTGTGATGCATTTGTCGAGCAAGCTACAAGGGTCCCCACACCCATTTTTTCATGCGTCTGTTCTTTGTTCTTCTTTTCAAATGTCACACTCAGTGGTGTGCATGTATGTAAAGTTCATAATTTTCAAGAAAAAAGTGTTTCTGCAACTATAAGATGAGAAATTTTATGAGCAGTGAGTGAGCAACTGAAAAGCTGAATTGGTAGGAGAAGAAAATGTGCTCAACTGCATCTTCAAATAGCAGCATCTATCATGCACCATGTGGAAACGTCCCAAATTGCTTTTGCCAAGTAATTTCTTCATTATGGCAAAAATAGGATCAGCTTTTTGAAGACATCCATCATGTTCCCTTGATCATCAGATTTTTTATTTAATGGTTGCGGATGATTTAAAATTTTGAGTGTGCACGAGCAATGCCAGAATGCTTTAGATAAGATACAGGAATTAATCTTTGAAAAGCCCACAATAAAAAATATAAAAATAATAAAACTTTAGATTTAGTCACTGATGCATCAAGATCAGCCATTTGTGGCATATTGATGCAGAAAGATAATGATAAGTTTTTTCCAGTGCAGTTTTATTTGAAAATTTTAACACCTGCAGAAGCTGGATACCCATCAATTAGGAGAGAACTTTATTCAATTTTTAGATCTGTGAAACAATTTCACGAGCATCTGTATGGAAAAAAATTTGTAACATAAACTGATGCCAAACCTCTAACTTTCCATACCAATCTTCATAAGCAGCCTGATATTGTAGCACGCTGGTTATTTATTATATCTGAAGGAATACGATTATACAATGGGGCGCTGGTTTCAAAAAATCCGGCAGATTAACTATCAAGAGTTGCAGAAATAGTGGTAAACAACATGGATATTTTTGTACCAATGACAATCTCTCTATGCAAAATATAATTAGAAAACAGCAAGAGGATCCATATATAAAAACAATTATAAAAAAAATTGCAGAATAACCAGAAAGATTTGATAGAACAGTATTTTATCGATAGTTACACAGATTTGTTAATGATAAAAACAAAAAAGTGTACAAAATAAGGTTTTAATACCTAAGATGCTAATTAAAGATGTACTCTAAACTGTTCCTATGCCTCACTTCGGTGTTAAAAAAACTTGAGTTTGTGAAAACAAAATATTACTGGAGAGGTATGTACAGTGATACAAAAAGTTTTGTTGAAAATTGCTTAGAGTGCTTACAAAATAAATCAAAACCTCAAAATACTATTCTGTGTTTGATTCCTAAAAGAGATCATGCACCTGGGGATATGATAGTTCTAGGTATAGTTGGTAAACTGCCAAGATCCATAGATAATAAGTTTTATGTACTCACTATCATTGATCACTATCATTGATCACCATTCCATTAAATAACTGCACTTCTTTTTCCATTGTAAAATCTCTTAATGACTATTTCATGAGATTTGGCACCCCCAAAATTTTGCTATCAGAGAGCAGTTCATATTTTTGCTCTAAAGAATTTAATCAGTTTTTAAAATTACTAAATATAGAGCACAGAAAGAGTTTGATATATTACCCACAAGCAAATGGTGTGATTGAAAGAGTACATATAGTGATGAAAGAATCTATTGCAGCAATTTAAAAAAAAAAGTATTTGAGTGGCTGAAAAGGGTGATAATGTTTAAACTGTATTATAATAAAGCAAAACATTTCATAATTGAATTTTCGCCAGCAGAGCTCTTTTTTTTTTTTTTTTTTTTTGTAGAACATTAAATACTCCTATAAATAACAACGATTCTCCTAAACTAGCAGAAGATTTCTATCATTATTCAAAAGACTAAATTACCAAGTAACAATAAGGAACAAGTAAAATTGAATGAAGACGTGTATTTTAATCATAGAAAGAAATATTTGAAAGGAAGAAAATTCTGGAATTAAAGTTAGGGGATAAAATTTTTATGCAAAAGTTTAATGACAATAGGGTGTTAAACCAAAATACAAAGGATCATATTAGATTATAAAGAAGCTATGGAATGCTAATTACTGAATACAATTAGATAACAAAACACCGTAAGCAAGTTGCTTCTACAAAAATTATCACGAATTGGTTCTGCAGAGGATGAGGATTAGAAGAATCTCTCTAAAAAAAAAAAAAAAATTTTTTTTCAAGAAATTCATTTGGGTTTGATTTAAAATAAATAAATAAAATTGATTATATTTTCATGATGCTTACAAATTAGATAATTCAATAAGGATTATGGATGGTAAGTGCTTGGTTTAAGTGTAATAAAGTGCTAATTACACAGTTTTGGTAGAGTTAGGTGGTCCATATATGAAAAGAATTGAGTATTGCTACATATAATCTAATTAATTGTGGTATGTAAGAGATTTATATACAGAAATACCAAAAAAAGTTTTAAATCTCCTTATGAAAATATAATGAGCCTAATTTAAGGCAAATAACTTAGATGGTAGGTAAACCCTACTTGGCCTAATAAAAATATGAGGAAAATTTGAATGTAAAATTTGTGGTCAAAGGTAAAAACAAGTGTTAATGAAAAATGGAGTGTTTTTAATGCATAAAAGTGAAAAATGTATTATCCATTTCTACGTTGCTTATTGCACATAAAAATGTTATATGGCTCCAAGTAACTATTTAATTACCATATCATTTGTATGACATAAATTGTATGTATCGGCTAAAAAAGTTTTTTTTATTCTGAATCACGTGTGTAGTAGTTGTACTTTTGTGTAGTGCCATATAATGGATATGTCAGATTAGTATAAAAATTAATGCTGTAGTGTAATGTTGCTGTTCCAATTCGAGTATATGGACTTACTTATTATTGTTAAAAGTGTCATCACAAAGCAGGACTATTTCCAGGTGAAAGCAAAGAATGTCAACATTGCAGATGGTTTCATTGCATCATGGTCCCAACTTGGGCTGTGTTTTTCTTTCTTCTCTGGCCGGGAGGAATGTGAAAGCAAGCTTTTACAGTGAAACTTAAACTACAACTTTAATGTAAGAATCTTAATTGTTTAGTGAGAAAGCGTTACAGACTAGCCAAACAGGTTTTTGTTACGCATTTGCCCAGCAAGCACTACAAGGGTGGAATGGGGCCTTGTGCCTTGTCCCCCCCACCCATTTTCCCCTGCATCCCTTCTTTATTCTTCTTTTAGAATGCGGCACTCGGTGGTGTTTTTGTGCATGTATGTAAAGTTCATAATTTTGAAGAAAAAAGTGTTCCTGCAAGGATAAGATGAGTAATTTTACGAGTGGTGAGCGAGCAACTGAAAAGCTGAACTGGTAGGAGAAGAAAATGTGCTGAATTGCATCTTCGAACAGCAGCATCTATCATGTGCCATGTGGAAATATCGTAAATTGCTCTTGCCAAGTAATTGCTTCATTATGACAAAAATAGAATTGGCTTTTTGAAGAAGATTGTTCCCTTGATCATCAGATTTTTTGTCTACATATTTAATTGTTGTGGATGATTTAAGATTTTGAGTGTGCACGTGTAGATTTTTGAATCGGTAAGAGACCGCGCAGGACTGATACCTTTGTCCTTCTTGTGTCCACAGTAAATATGAATTTGTGTGTGTTGATCAAAATTTATTTACCTATTAATCTAGAAAGTGTGCATTAATAATGATAGAATCTGGAAATAAATATTTAGTCAAAGGAAAAAAGTGTTAGATATGTATTCATACAGAGGAAGAAGGTGCTATACACGTAAGTGGCATTATTTATCACCATTGAATGTTGAAACAGATAATTCTGATAATTTCACCATTGTGTTATTGTGGATTTAAATTTTGCCAAATTATTGGCCAATTTCACAATGCATTTAAAAGTTTAAGTTGAATTTGAATTCTATTGCATATTGGGCACATTTAATGAATATAATTACTTCCAGTGATGATAAAATTAAACTGTTGCCATTACATTAAAATACGTTAAATTTAACTTTTGCCATAATTTGTGGCTCATCACCGCAACAATGTTCTAAGTTACATAATAAATATTTAAATGCTTTCAAACAATCGCTAAATATTTACCATCACCTTATTTTCATACGTCCTCCATAATTTTTATTTCTATAATTCACCCATCTTGATATGATTTTCTTGTATGCTTCCATTGTTTCACTTTTGTACACTTTTGTATTTATAGGTCTCTCTTTCTTTAATCCATAATGTGTTTCAGTTTTCAGATATCTCTATTAAGCACTTTCTTGAAGTAGAATTAGAGGACTAAATGTCTTGAAGTTTAGTGCGCATTGATTTCACAAAACACTGAAGAAATTTCAACAATAATGTATGTGTGCAATTTTCAACTGCAATGTATGTGTACACCAGATAACTTTCAAGATGGTCAGAGGTAGTGTTCAGTGTGTTTTCCATTGTGTTCGACCAAAACCTAGCGTTGTAAATTGATGTCCCCTAATGCAGATACGTTTTGATTTAGCGTACATATTGGATGATTCTACTTTCAAATCAGTCAGCTTTTTCATGATACACCATAATATTCAAATAACTCCAAAGACAGAAAACAAAATGATTGGTTTCTAGTATATGACTAGTGTCTAGCAATGCTCATATTTTTTAGAAAGATTCATTAATCACTCATTGCTCTGTTAATATTGCCACAGTAAATATGAATTTAAGAAGGATCCAGTCAAGGAGAGGCCTCTATTTTCATAAAAATTTTGCTACGCAGTCTGTTTCTTAAGTAGCTATGAAAATTCTGCAAATCTTTTGTGCCATTCTCCATTTTTTATACAAGTCACAAATCCTGCCAGAAAATTTTCTTGGGAAAAAGTCTATTCACTGAGAAATTTCACCATAAAACAATCCATATTTTTTGAGAGTGTGAAGGAAATTGGTGAAACAAATGATGTCTTACCCATTACCCTGTATTGGCTAAATTTGGGTAATAATCATTTGAATTTTGTATTTGAGTTAATTGTATGTGAATTGAAAGTATAATCTTCAAATTTTTTGCTGTTATTTTGTGTTTTTCTTTTTATTTAATATCTAGAAAATTTGAACGAAAATATGAGTTAGTGTAATAGAGAACAGTTACAAAAATTAGAAGTGTTTGCCACAAATTTAGTGTCCCTTTCTGTTTTTCTTAGAACTGTATCATGTAATAATGTTATTAAATAAATACCTTTTATTTGTGTGAAACTAAGACGGCTCTATTTTAATTCAAAACTAGGTAGTTACATGAAACTTTTCGGAAAAGCTCAGGTTGATGTCAATCTTGCTCTTGGACAGTTAATTAAGGTATGTATTTTACTTATTTGATTATTTGGTACTATTCGGTTTCGAGGGCCATAAAAAATCGCCAAGCTATTGTTGATGCCAATGCTGCCAAAAATAATTGCATTAACCCTAATAATTGCGGCAAGAAAGGAAGTATAATAGTAAATAACTATATAAGATTGATGTTTTAATTTAGATGAAAGGTTAATTTCATATAATAGTTTTCTATTATTATAATTTATATGAAAAAGACTAAACATGACTGAATGGAAGCATAAGAGTAAATAACTATTTCACATCATTATTATAATTTATATAAAAATTGCTAAACGTAACTGAATGGATGCCTGCGTCGCTATTTCGTTACTGACTCATCGGTAAAGCATAATTTCATCTCGTTGGTTGTTCAAACATAATTTTCTATAATGAATGATGTCTTTTCTTTGAAAATATTCTCGGTAAAGTGCAGAATCGCTCACGTATTTGTTTGCCGCTTTTTACAAGGGTAAAAACAATTGGATTTTTGTCAATTTTCTTTTACTTTTTAAGTGAAAATAGGTCGATGTGTACATAGATAAAGGAAAGGGTGTGCGCAGTGCATTTTTGTGCAATTCTACAATTTTTTTTAAGTGAAAATCAGTTGATATGCACATGGATACCAAGTATGTGCAATTCTTAAAAACGCATCAAGCAGTGAGTGATTCTGCATTTTACCCAAAATTCTATTGCCGAGTTTTTGTTATGGGCAATTCCCCAAATTGTTAAATCCATAGGATATAAAAAAAAAAGGATTTAAAATGAAAAAAGGATTTGAAAATTAAACTAGCATTTCAATGGCGTCTTAAGAAATGTAGAACTATATAAATTTATGCAATCTGAAATCAGCATGTACGCTAGATTTGGCACTTTTGCATGTACATTTTCGCTGCAATTTTTTACGGCCCTCGAAATCGAATACTACCGATTATTTATCTGAGTATTAAAGAAATTTTACTTGCCTATTTTTAATATTTATTCCTTTCTTTATATATAAAATGTTATGTGTTGTAAAACTAATTACAAAATCTTTTTTTTTTTTTTTTTCTTTTTTGAGGTAGTAATTTTACATTAGGTTGATGACAGCACATAATATATCAAAGTCTATAACTCTATGATTATTTCTCTGATGGTCTTCATAAGTTTGTGTAAAGTAAAATAAAAATTTTGTACATAATAGTTTTACATTTAAGCCTAGATATGTAATTGCTCATACCTGTGTTTGCAATAAATATGCGTTTTATTTTTCATTGATTTCCAAATAATGGAATCAGCATTCATTATTCATCTTCAATCTAAATATGGTTATCAATTAATGTGATTGTGATTAAACTCTGGAGTTCTCAGATTAGAAAATACAATTCTATTGTGAGCCGAAAGGAAAGCCAAATGAATGTTTGGGTTGTGATTTATCTCACTTGTCTGACATTAACAGAAGGTACAATTTCACTCAAAAGTTGCAAAGTAATAGGGCTAGGCTGGTGAGCTGAAGCTAAATTTAAGCCGTGCCTAGCTTTTAAACCTTATTCCTTCTCTTTTTATTCTTTTTATGTTTGCAAACATTTATAGCAGTGTTAAAGTAAAATCTGTGTTATGGTTTTTACATTGTTTATATATAGCTGCTTTTGAAATTATAGTTATGCTAAAAATTTTGTTGCTAAAAGCATTCGTTGATATACTTTTATAAATGCAGTTAAGTTCTACTGCAGTACTCTTTAAACAATGGGCTGTTATTGTTAAATTCTATGCAGTATAAAATTTATCTGGAAATAGGGGCACATTGCTCACTTCTGGTATTAATGGTACAGATTTTTATTTCTCACAATTTATCATTCTACAGCATGTATTATTGCTTTAATTCAAATGAATGATCCATTATTCAGATGCCTTAGTTTATGCTAAAGATATCTCTGCTATTTGTGTTAAATATACCAGTTTATGCTTCTGGTCATTTTCAAGATTTAGTGTTCCATCTTATTGTTATAATATGGTAGTACCAAAATATTAATGGATGTTACTTGATTGTCTGTCACTTGAAATATTTTCTTCTTCAGAATGCATTATTTGAAGAAGCTGAACCAGAATTCCAGCAATTTGCTTACTTTAAAACAAGAATATGTATGCGAAATGCGCTTCAGGTGAGATTTTTATTTACATGTTTTTTCCAACTATTTGTATAAGGAATTTATAAGCAAGGTGTGTTGTGGGATTTTAAATTATTTCTAAGAGCACTAAATTATTCTGTGGTTTTTGTTCTTAATTATTGTATTTGACGGCATATAAGACACACTGGCATATAAGGCACACCCTTATTTAGACGGCCACACACAAGGAAAAAAAAGTTTCAATAGCGTGGTTACTTTTAGTTCACACATTTCATAAAAGCCAGATAAACAATTATCGAATGCAATTACCTTCACGTATAAGACGCAGGTAACTTTTTTGAGACCAAATTTAGGAAAAAAAGTGCGTCTTATATGCCATCAAATACGGTAATTAAATATAAGGTATGATTATATTCTTATGTGGCAACTATTTCAGACCAGTTTTTGGCTTAAAAACGGGTCAAGTAGTATCTTATTATGTTATGCCATTTACACAAATGAATTTCTTGCATATTTTTTTAGTCTGTTTAAATGTAATTTTATTTTATCTTATTGTGATTTTGTTGCTTACTATTTATGATTTGTGTGCTATTGTAATTTTGCAAATGCATTTGTTTATTTTAGATATAAAGTGTTTAATTCATGTATGGTCAATGAACTCAGTCTTAACTTTATGCACCAAACTGATCTTAGTTTTAATCTTTCAGAAATTCATAAAAAATATAAAAAGTAAATTTCGTTTCATTTTTTTAAATATCTGTATTAGTATCTTTGTCTTGAGATTGTTTTCCTAGTATCTTTGTCTTGAGATTGTTTTCCTAGTATCTTTGTCTTGAGATTGTTTTCCTAGTATCTTTGTCTTGAGATTGTTTTCCACCTTCCTTCTCAGATATGACCATGTTCATTTTTTGCCCCTTAGAATAATAACTAAATAATGTTTTATATTTAGTCTTCAGTTGGAGCACTAAATGAAGGTACTTCATGTGTAGCAGGGTTACATCTGACATACTAGCATAATACATACATCAAAGGATTTTTTTTCATTCTGTTTCATAACATCACCATGACAAAATTACGTAAAATAAAAATTTCATATTACTATTTGCTATATAGAGCAGCCATAGTGCATCTATTTTGATGATTGAATAAACTTTTATAATATAAAAACTTAGTTTACCATCTTGCAGATATACAAGATGTATGAATGATAAGTAAAAGCTTTCAAAATATGTCTTAATTTGCTGTTTACTTTACTAGTGAGGATGCTGATCAACAGTTAGTCATTTGCCGTTAGTAGGCTTAGTAAGACTATGTTATTTCTCTAACATTTTTAATGAGAACACTTTTCCATTAATTTTTATCACAATTAAAAGTATTAAGAGTATTGCTTGAAATTTAAAAGTATCAAGAATATTTAAAGTATTAAGTACATTTTGGTTTTTTTTTTTTTTTTTTTTAGAAAAATCTCCCCGTGGGTTGTTTATACTGGCTTGGTATTTTTTAATGACAGTGGCACTCTGGGGGAACAAATACATATTATGAGCCTGGCAGTTCCCAGAACCCCCAAAGAAGATCATCCTATATGGTTGATCCTTGGGGTCCATTACCAAGACCCCAAGCTGGTGGTCTTGGTAGTGGGCAGGGCTTGCCACTTGACCTGTATTCTGTATAATTTGATGGTAGCAGCAGCGGTGCGACGCCACCGTATGTTGTGTCAGTCCTTCAGTCTGGGGTGGCCTGTGTAGTACTGGTATTTGATGATTAGTGAAATTCTCCAGTCTAAACATCCTGCACCTCAGAGTGGTCTCAGTTCATCGGGAGTGGTGATCCCAGTCGACCTGTTCAGCCATGAGTAATGAGAGATCTTTTTGATCTACTGTCCGTAAGTATGAGACAGAGCGGCAGTGAACTTTCTAAGCTCTTGATGGAGGCTATTTTTCTACGTGACATACCCAATATGGAGGTTTTAAGTTGAAGTCGTGCTTGGTTGTGCATCTACCTTAGATCATGGTACCAGCTATTAAAAAACTAGTTACCATACAAATCATATTAGCTAAGGTTGTATCAGCTGTATGGAAAGACAAACCAAATAGTTTTCACATATTCCTATCACTGCCATAAGTGTGTTATCAAGTAATCAAAGAGAAAAAAAAAATTCTGTATTTATGACTTCACCATTAATGCCTCTCTACCTATTTTGACAGTTTTGGAAAAGCATATCATGTGATAATTTAACATTTTTGTATTTGTTTTTTAAAAATATTTTTCTTTCACATTTATGTGCCTTTAGTGAAAATTACAGCATGCACTTCACTGCAAGATATTAATTTTTTTTTTTTTTTTTTTTTTTTGAAAAGCAATAATTTCAGATGGATTTGGAACTGTACAATATACTGCCTGCATTTTCTAAACATCTAGGATAAATATGACAAACTAGATGTAGTTTTGCAACTGTAAAGTAATTATAATTAGGTAAAGAATTTTTGTACACCTGAAAATGTGATCAGTTATTGGGGGGAGGAGATTACACTGGAGTCAAGTGACACATTCTAATGAAAAAACAGGATTTCAAAGTTCATTATGCTATAATAAAAGAAATTGAATTTACCTTAACGTTTTGTTGTTCTGAATTAACAGGTTCTCTATTTGTTATCAAAATTGTTTAATAAATGGGAAATGACCTTCATACTTGCACAGATATGAGTGGAACATATTTTAATTCCAAAGCCAGCATTTGGACAATTGACAAACTTTGCAGCATCAGAATTTTCTGATTGACTGATTTCTAGCTTTCATTTAGTAAATGTATTTAAACTTCCTTTCAATATCTGCATAATATTTTACTGATCTTCTTTAAAGACATTTGTTTTTATGTATTTTTATATGTCTGTTGGAATGTCCTTATAGTTGTTCATGATAAGAAAATCATATTCTTGATATATTTCTTCATGATAAGAAAAGGGTTTTCTAATGAATCAAGAAGAAGCATAAATGTTTTAATCTTTGCAAAATTTCTTTCCATAAAACTACTGTATTAAGTTCAAGTTCCCTATCATGTTAGAGTAGATAATTTAGTATCGTGTAATTTCTTTGCACTTAAAATAACATGACCAAGTACTTTTGTGAAGACTTTTCTGTGTTCAGCAGTAAAGTTATTCACAACAGAGTACAGTCAAAAGTCGTTAATCCGGACTTATCGGGACTTCGGCGATTCCGGATTATCGATTTTTCCGGATTATAGATCATCATTTTAAATCTGATAAGATGGCATGCAGAAATTATAAAATTAAAAATATGAAACCATAATTTACGAAATAAAAAACATTTATAATCTAAAGGGTATCAAAATTTACAAAAAAAAAAAAGCTTAATATTTATTTGTTTACTTTATTAAACATTTCTTTCAATGTAAGTTGTTCAAGTTGCTTCGTTTTTTATGTGATAATACATTCTCTTGAATTCTATAAACAGACATAATTTCTTGTTCAGTTACAAACTTCCGCTGTTCAAGTCCTGTAATTGCTGTGTCGAGAATACCGACTAATTTGTCAATGGAAATTTTTCGTTTTCAATAACCTCTGTCACTTTCTTCGCTATCGGAAGCGAATTATAATGACGAGGAATTTGATTTAAATCATATCAAAGACGGAGCACATCGAGATGAAATACTACATTTAGTAAGGACTTATAAGCCAAGAAGATAAGGATAGTGCTGACAGATCAACTTCCAATTCATTGTGCGCCGCGGCATTAAAGATAAACAAAGTTTAGATAAACAAACGTTAAAGTTTAGATAAACAAAGGATATGCCTTTATCTATTTTTTGTAGCAATTCCACTTTTTGTTTAATGGACTTCGAAACATACTTTCGCTTTGTAGATCCTTTACATATTAGTAAATATATATCAGAAATTCTATTTGACATAATCGAAAGTTCAAGCTTACTTTTATAAAATTGCTCTAACAATCTGCAAAAAATAATAAGCCGAATCCAATTCAAAGATTAAGGAACAACACAATCTGCAACATTAACTGAATTAGATAATTTTAGCTTAGCTTATACCGTCCGTTATACATTAAATGCGCATTCGTAAACGTATTTTGAGCACATGCACACGCATATTCGCAGCCGTAAAGGTCTTACGACATATGCGCAGAAAGTTTGTAGCTTTAAGGTCCGGATTATAGATCATTCCGGATTATGGGTGTCCAAATTAACGACTTTTGACTGTACTTACCACAGTAGTAGTTCCACATACTGTTTTGAAGGTGTAGATAAAATTTTTTATGGTTAGACTTGAAAACTTTTTCAAGTGACCTACAACTGCTGATGAAGCATGTATGATGCTTTATCTTTAATACTGTTGTTGCCTTTATATAATTGTTGTCTTCAAATCATAATTTTCTAGAAGTACCCATGAAATGTTGCATTATTTTTTTTATTTTTCCCAATTCATATATTTTAAACATCATAATCTTCAAACCGTATCGAATTAGACACTGAACTAGAATACTCAGGACATATCTTCGGCAATCACCAGTTATTTCATCGGAATGAAGGTACGGAGTGCAGTCCAATAGTTTATCTGATTTTATCAAGAGTTAAATTATATGTTGGTTTCACATAGTTCTTCTGCAAAGTACTTTTAGAAGGTACTATTTTTTTGTATACTTTTCCCTGAAACTAGTTCTTGTTTAAATTATACTAGCTTTCAAAATTACAAATATTAAATCTTGATTAAATTCATTTAAAGAAGTTGTATTTAGTTGTAGAACATCAAAAATCCTTGCTTGTCTCCAGTTAGAGACATTTATCTGCTTTACGTACTTATCCCTTTCTGTATGTTGGAGAATGACAAATTTGCGATGCTGTTATTTGATGTTCTTTGTAACAGACATTACTTTTCAGTACACTTTCATCAGTTTCTGTAAAATCATTTGTAAAATTTGTTCCTAAAGCAAGTAATTTATTTCCTGGAAACTTCTGACATTTTAAAATATTTATACATTGATTTATAAACGAACAGGTAAGGCCTTCCAACCTAGAACTCTGAATTTTCTTGAAAAACATATATGTATATAAATCAGATCATCTCTAAATATACAACAGTGAATGATTTGGCTGCTAATATTTTGTAAGTTGGCAGTTATAAATTGTAAAAATAGCAAACTTTGGTAATACAAACCGAGAAACGACTTTCCAGATTTTCGAAATTTGGGAAGTCACAAAGCTCATTGATTCATTCATTGAAAATATAAAATTATAAGAGATAAAAAGCAATTGATACATATTATAGCTCTCAGTCTGTCATAACTTAAAATGACAGAATGATGAAAACTGATAGAAATTGAATCTTTGAAAACTTAGGTCAGAATGCAAGAAATTCTGTTATTCAAGTATTGTACTGTAGAAAGATATCTCATATTGTAATTTTAGTGCAATAATACACACATTATGTGATAATAATAATCAAAATTTATGAACGTGCACTACATTTAATAAGTACATGGCTCCCCATCCATGTCAGGGAGGAGTCATGAGTTCGCAGAGCTTCCCTAGGAATTATATATAAAACATGTCAGCTATGTCACCACCCGGGGGGGCCCCAATCTCAGGTTGTGGATCAGAATTATCTCTCATACACACCATGAAGAGTATGGAGCTTTGATGAAAGACTTATTGCTCCTCCCACTAGGAGGCTTTAACATCATACCCCCATAAAACCCTCTTGTCTACCAGGGCTGTAGTCCTTACACCATTACTATATGGAGTGCTAGGTGTGTGTGTGTGTGTATTTAATTATGGTAAAGCACACTTAGGGCTATCTGCCTAAGGGGAGGGATGCCTTTGTGGAGGACTTTCTAAGGGAAACTGGCTCGTATACACGTTACACATGGGGAAAACCACGAAAACACCCATGCAACCAGCCCGTTTGCGGGATTCGAACCTCGGACCGAACTACCAGTGTTCAGCAACTTTACCGCTTGGCCGCTGGTGGGCCTATGGAGTGCTAGGAATCCATGCTTGTGTATTTTATACTTCCACCATCAAGACTGTTAGAGTACCATTCTCTACCAGGGGAAATGTGATAATTAAGTATGCTGGCTTCTAATTGAATACATAGCACAGATGAGGTGTAGTAAAAATTATCAAAGCAGTAATCTATTGTGCAACAGCCATGAACTGAATGAAATGAAATAATATGATAATGATCGTTAATCTCGGGAAATATTTGAAATTTAGGAAGAAGGAAATTTTGTTGCTTCTATACTTAACTTACTCTTGCCTTTTCACGATAAGATTATTTATCTTAATTACTTATTGATAACTTTCTTGAAAATGTTTTCAGTATTGCAAGTGCAATTTTGAATTTGAAAAAAAAAAAAAAAAAAAAAAAATGTAGTTAACCAGAGGCTATACAATGTGCTGTGTGATTCTTGAAAAGTAGATTAGACCTTTGATTAAAATACCTAAAAATTTGAAGTCACTAAGATATAGTATTAGTTACTGGGATGTGAAATAGACTAATATCCATAAACTTGAAATTATGGGATGTTTCAGATACATCTCATATTTCTATCAAACATACAGGATGGGAATCATGGTAGGATATTGACAGTAAGGAGGAAGGAGAGTTTTGAATGTAGCTGGATCTCATTCAAACATGGTGTGTAACTATTATGATATGAAATGTAACAAAACTGGCTCTGACACTATAACTGCTGTGAGGTTGCCAAGGATTTCTGGTTATTGTCGGAAACAACTCTCCTGACAGTTAACCATCAGAGTGAATGATGCTATGCTTTGGCTAGCAGTCTTTCTGACTTAGTGGCCATCAGTATATATTGTGAACTGTGATTCATCTCTGATGATCACATGACCAGTTAACATTCTGTCATGTTGATCTGGGCATATACCTCTGAAAATGGTACTAGCAATGCCTATTTGTCGCTGATCCTGCGGAGCACCATTCATCTGTGTCTTCTCTTGTACTGTTTTAATGGAGACATATTTATAGATAGCAGCATATGGCCATACATGATAGAAAAAGCTATAATCAAGTGAGTCACAGTGTTTTCTCATGATAATTTGCTATCTCTGTGTCATTTAATGCATGTGCTATTGGGTTCCGTCACAATGGACGTAACATGATTGTCATTTTATACCTACCTATGTACTGGCAAGAAGTGTTCTTGAGTACTTCAACCCAGTAATGCAGTCTTTATCAATTTCACTCATATCATCTGCAGTACTAAGACATTTATTTTCTGGAATGATAAATCACCATCATTATTATCTGCTATTTATTATATGGCCTTTATTTTTAAACATTTGTGTAATTGCTTTTCTAGTTGCCTTGTAGGAGTACAAATGTATTAAAAATTCTAAAACTATTTAAATAGTACTAATTTTATCTAACAGTAATATTAAAAACAATAATTTTACAATAATTTAAAAAATCCTTTTTTTTTTTTTTTTTTTTTTTTTTTTTTTTTTTTTTTTTTTTTTTTTTTTTTTTTTTTTTTTTTTTGTTTTTTTTTTTTTTTTTTTTTTTTTTTTTTTTTTTTTTTTTTTTTTTTTTTTTTTTTTTTTTTTTTTTTATGGTGACAATTTTCCTAAAAAAAAAAAGAACAACATTGTTTATAAGAATGTAAGTTGATGGATGGATTTAAAATATGTTAAAGTATTTGTAGAGAGTAAATAATTGTAAATATTTATTGTAATAAAATTGTTTCTGTAGTATCAACATTGTTTAATTTTTTGTATATCATCATTATTTGGTGACCACAGTCTCGTACTGAATTTTATTTGGATCAGATGTGCTTGGGATGTGCAGCTTTCTCCTTTAAAGGTTTTGTTTTGTTTTGTTTTTTGTTTTGTTATTTCATTAATTTTTAACATGTAACTTGTATTAAGGATGAGATGATATCAAGTCATTCTGAAGACAAAGAAGCTGTATTAATAACTCTGAATAGGCCTTTGATGTACATACAGCCCATAGCATTAGATAAAGGTAAATATTTTGTAACTTTTAACTCTGCAGCTCTCATATTAATTTTTTATTTATTTAGATATTTATAGTCTAGGAGCTGTATGGAAAACTACTGTTTACACTTTTCTTAATTATAGATATACATCATCTGATATAGATAACCTAGGTAGCATATCCCCAAGAATAGACAACAGATGAAATAAGTGTTTATCACCTTTGAGTTCAGGTTTCTTTTATATTCTGCATCATGTGACACAATCTAGAGAAGATCATGCAGTGATATATCATTGTACAAAGAACTGGTTACTTTTAGGACCTTAATTAGTCAAAAAGTTGATTGAAATATTTGCATCAGGATTAAAGTATGGAACCTATCAGGAAAAGGAACAAAAGTGTTCAGTTTTCATCAGATGCAATTTTAGTTTGAACACATATTTTCAAATGAATGAATAAATAAACTTTCACTTTTCATAATGTTGGAGCTACTAGAAGTATTAAGGCATCAACACAGTAAAATCCACAATGAAACAAATTAATAAAATATAAAAAACAGTGGTTATTCATAAAATTCCCTAAAATAACTTTAAAAACAGTCTTGCTTCACAACAGAAATATGTGTCTGTCGGGGCCACATGCATTTGTTCTAAGAATTATACGAAACTACTTGCTTATAAGAAGTATTCATGTTACATCTCCCGCGATCTGTAAACGCTAATTATTTTACTTGATCTACATCAGATCATGCAGAAGAAGTTTTGGCACTGTAAGGAATGTGGACAAAAAGAACCAGTATATTGAAATATTCTAATCCAAAAAAGAGAACTGCAAGAAATAAATTTGTAGATTTGAAATTGTTCTCAGAAATGTGCTTTATATTTGTCTCATTAAATCATGTATTTAGTGATGAAATTGTATTTGATGAAAACCTTTTAGAGGACTATGCTTGTGGAAGAGAGAAAGAGTTTTCACTATCTAAATAACAAAGTTTGTGGGTCTTAAATTATGATGTAGGGTTTTTCACCTTCTAAATATTGATATTATGGACCTTAAATTAAAAAGTTCAAGGGTTTGATCAAGTTAAAATGAATTTATTTTATTTAAAATGGAAATTTACAGTGTGTTTAAGAAAATAAAAAGTAATTACATTTTATAAATCTGTAGAGAAAAGTGCATAATATAATGTGTTATAGAAAAATGCATAATGTATTGTGTTTCAGTGAAATAAAAGTATTTTACTTCTTTCAATTGTGTAAACTGTGCTAAAACATAATATGATAAACGAAAAAAAGTGATTCATTTCAGTACATTTGTATTCGGACTACAGAAGAAATAACCTATTAGTCTTTATTTTTTTAATATCCAGATCTGCATTAGTACCAAACAGCCCAGATATATGGGAGTTCTGTACTTAAAGAATGCAAGAATTTTAAAATTAAAATATGAAATCATGTTATGGTTTTGCTTGATCAAATTAATGCATGCAAATTTCCAACGTATTTGCAGTGATCTGTTTGATGGCATCTATATCTAACTTTAAATAAATAAAAAGAATAAATAAATCATACTTTGTATTAAAAAGTTTGCTTTTATGTTTGACAGATGAAAGAACGGAATCTTTTGCTTCTATTTTTTTTGTCAAAATGTCAGTAGTTAACTTAAGCTCTTTCTAGAATGCTTTATGCAAGTGGTTTAATGGTTTGGTTGTTTTAGATACGGCAAAGCCTGGAGGGCTATCTGCCTAAGGGGAGGGGTGCCTTCGTGGAGGGCTTTCTAAGGGAAACTGGCTCGTATACACGTTACACATGGGGAAAACCACGAAAACGCCCATGCAGTCAGCCCGTTGGCTGGATTCAAACCTCGGACCGAACTACCAGCATTCAGTGAATTTACCACTCGGCCGTTGGTGGGCCAAATGGTTTAATGTAAAAGTGATAATTAATTAATAACTTAATAACATTAATGTAGAGTTTTTTCACTGGTAAGCCTAAACAACCCATGCTCAAAATCTGCTTTTGCAATAGATTATCCATTTGTAAAAGCAAAGCTCTTTTACAAAATTCCTTTATACCTATGAGGCATTCATTGTATACCTTGCTAGTATGGCTTAGTATTTATTGGTCAAAGAAAGTGAGTTTTGTAATTTCTAACCAAAATTCGTAAAATGTACTTCCGGGGAAAAAAATCATTAATTCTCTATTGCATTAATAAAAATAAAGGAAAATGTAAGTAATTTAGCATGCTTTAACATGTTCGAGAATTAACTGTTATTGAAATCAATTTATTTTATGTGCTTTTTCTGATGACAGGCTTAGTAAATTTTGAATACTAATTCTCATTTATTTTCATATCCTTCTATCCTAAGTTCAAAATATTTTACTGTGATAATTACTTCAAAATATTTTATTTTATGGCAGTCCTACAAATTTAATGTTGAGCAAATAGGTTCACCAAAAATTAAGAAAAGAAAACACAGTTTCTTAGATAATTTAATTATTGTTATTGGAAGCATTTTTTTAAACAGCTGTATTTATATTTCCTGAATAATTTTCATTACTAAGTCTGGTTTATTTTATTCATTATTTTTCATCCAAAATGCTTTTTGCAGTCTTTCAATTTATTTTCTGGTATAAGTTTCTGCTTAATTTTTTAGTAAAGAGTCGTTTATTTTTGATAATCATGTAATCTTATGATGTACTGAACATTCTTTTAATGATATTTAATGTAATCCTTTAGCTGTTTTAGTTTGGCTAAACTATAAAAATGCTTATGAATACTGGAATGAACAGAGAGCAAGTTTGAATAAAGAGGTTAGTGTTTCTTGTTTTCTTACCTATACTAGATTACTTGTGTTTCAGAAGAAATAATTTATTAAAAGTGAAATCTAGAGCATAATTTTTTTAAATATATTATAAAAAATATATATAATTATATATTTTTTAGCAAAATTATTTTGGGTAATAATTTTTTTAATCCATTAGGTTTTAACAGCTACGCAGCAGGTATTTGAGAGAGTACCTCAGATATCTCAGTTAAGTTCGCAAGCATTAGGGACTTTGTTTTTGCAGCTGACTGTAGATGATATGGGAATATGTTTGCCACTGAATCCTTATGCTGGGGTATGTATCAAATAACTGACATGTGTTTTAAAATCTGTTACTAAATCTCTTTAAAATCTGTTGTTTGCAGTTCTACAAATATGTATTGCTTAGTATAAATAAAATAAATGTCATTAGACTGACAATGAAAGCAAACTATTAGAAATTATCCTTTTTCCTGTGTGCAATTATGATAAAGCAAGTAAATGTGTGCAGTTTTAACTCAGTTGTATATGAACAGCATACGGACTGCACGTTTTGATAGAAGTAATGTTTTCTCCATATGTATGACTGTTATTGAAAATAAAATAATAAAAAAAAAAAACTTAAAAATAACATGTTTGGATTGTGACCCGTAAACTGTTATAGAAAAGAGAATGGCGTGTATGAGAAATTCGAGGGATATAGAGCGGTGCAGGCAGAATATAAAGAGCCTTTGCTTCTTTGCACAGCTGCCATTAACAAGATGGGGAAAGGGGACATGACAGAGTTTTGTCTGTACAACCTACTCAGTGGCACCACTGTCTTCCTTCCCTTTTCCCATAAGCCATTGCTAACAGTGATTTCACAAATGTGAATTGGTTTGGCTGATGTTGCTGATATTCTTTTAGCATTGTTTGCAGTTGCTGAAAATACTATTGAATGTATAATAGTTCTCAAAAGAGGTATTATTATGAACTTTTATTTACCTCTCTCATGGTGTTTGTCATTAGAGTGTAAAGTTTGTTATCAATTTTTAAACTACTTACTGAAATTCTGTACATATACTGTTTAAGGATGCAGTGTGATACAGGGATTTCTTTTCAAAATTCGAATTAGATTTTTTAAAATTTATTGCTGAAATAAGTTTTCACACATTTCTTTATTTAGTAAACAAACTGAAAATCTCATCAATTTATTGTCTGTGCCATTGATAAAGTGGGGGGAAAAATTTTTCAAGTGAAAGTTTTATTGTAATTTCTTATTTTTTAAGAAATTTTCAAAAATCACTTGTTTTTTAGACTCTTTGACATCCATTATTTTAAAATATTAGCATCTAAAAATGCATCAGTGAAAAAGGTTTGGAATTTCCATGAATTAGAAAATATACTCTTCACTCAGTTTTAAATCAAGAATGATAAAAAGACATTACTTAGGGGATTTTTTTACATCTTTCAAAAATATGCGATAAACAGAAGGGAATCGGTTCTTCATGATCACTTGGAAATATAGTATCAAGGTTATAAGCTCATTATATCTCACTATTTTTAACACTTCTTTGTAGATTTCTCTAAAATTATTTTTATTTACTTATCTATTTAATTTCAATCCCCTTGCTGCAAAGAATTACACGCAAAGACATTAAGCTTACTATAAAAATCTTCTGGCATTTTATAAATTCTACTTCTTCCCCCTTTTTTTGTGCATAGATTTTTCATTTACAGTTTAATTTATTAATCCCCGCCAAAAACGATTGATTACTCTTTAAAATTATTTGCAATGATATCTATTTTGTCATTTTTAATTGTTTCCATAAGTTTATATTACAATTTTCTCAGCACTTTGTTTTAAAAGTTGATTTTCTAAATTTTGTTGTAGTACATAACATTTTATTCTTTTATGGGCTTTACAATTCTAACAACCAAATATGTATCCATTATAAAGATTTGAAATTTTCAAAGGTTATAAAACGAACTGTTTACTTGCTTTTGAAACAAGAATAATAATAAAAAAGATATTAGGTGACTCTCTACAATGTATTTTGAAACTGGCAGAGGGTTTCATAAGCTTTTACTCAACTTGCTCATGATGTTTATCTCTGTGATCAAAACAGTGCTGTTGATTTTTAATTTGTTTCTTGTTGAGTTTTGGAGCTCAGATTATTTGGCATACACTCAATGTAGTTGAAAATATAATGTGGTGAAGCTTTATTTTAAATGTTTGACTTACATTTTTTTTAAATTTAAAGTTGAAAGGATTTTTCACACACACCTTCATTTAAGGAACAAACTAAAATAATAATAACTGTTGGGGGAAAGTGATTACACATTGTGGAGAAACGATTGTTGAATTAAGTAATTTGACTGACAATGTATCATTGAGACTAAACACATAAAGGTAAAAAATAAAGAAATGTTTTTATGTAAAACTCATAAGTAATTAATGAACTAAAAGGGAAAAAACGATTTATCATATACTTTAATATGAAAAGAGGATTACATAATACTCTTTAGAAAATTCATCTACAATTTTATATCTTGAATAATAAAATCAAGGACACCTAAATAATGAAATCTAATAATCGAATTGCATTGTCAAAAGTATATCAAAGTATATCTTTATAAAATTTTCATGTGTTTCCCATGCTTTTATTATTTGTAATATAAAAACTGTAGATATGTTTTGTAAAGAGGATTATTTATCTCTTGTTCCCATTAAATAGTATAATAAATTACTTTTCTTCTTTTATATCATTAACTATTTTATGAGTTTTAAATAAAAGCTTATTGTATAAAAAAAATTCTTTTTTCCTTTAATATGTGCTTCTACTTTGCATCAATAAAACTAATCTTTCTAAAGTGTTCAGATGTACCATTTGGGGATTTTTTAGAGTAGGATTCAAAGAATTAAAAAAGACAAAAACTGCTAAGACTTAAGTCTCGGAAATTCAAAATACTTTTTGTCATTCAATGGATCTGTATATATTTCTTATTTAATTTTTTTCCTAGAATTATTTTTGTACCTTTCTTCAAGTATGTGCTGTTTAGAGGACAGATAGATACTTCATTGAAGATGGTGGCTTTGTTGAAGGAATTTATAAGTTCCTTTATAAATATCACTAAATTTAGCATACTCAGAAAAACAGAATTTTTAATATTTTGCGTTCATATAATATTTGTGTCTCTGAGATTTGAATTTCATTTTGACTGAAAGTGTATTTTTTGTATATCCAACTGCAGCTAAATTTGTACAAATTTTTTATGTACTTCTGTAACACATATAAAAAATACCATTTAATCCTTTTTTTAACATTGTTGCATCCTTAGATATTTATCAGTATTATAGGTTCACTGACACTCCAGCATGCACGCAACTGCATGTCAGCCATGTTATTTACTAGAATTGAGTAAACTGGACAATACACTATGGCAATGCAATATCAGTTCAGGGGGAACTGGGAAAATGCATGTCTTCCCCACTTGCCGTGATCCCAAGAGGCAGGAACATTCTTCCTTCAATTCAACATATAATGCTTTTTTGCCATGTGAACGGGATACTTAGAAAGACTAGTTTTTCTCCTCCAGTTGAATCTGCTTTTGTGATTTTATTTTCCAGTCAAAAGAGGTGGTTTTGATGTAAGTCAAAACACCTGTTAAATCATCACTTATTATCTTAAGATGTAAAAAAGTATTAGTGTCACCTGCTGTGAGCTGTGTTAAATCATAAATTTTCCTGAATTTCAGAAACCTGTATTCCATCTCATCCATATATTTCTAATTTAAGAAATATTCCATATACTCTAGCCATATTTAGTTGTATACTTTTTCTTAAAAAATATATTCATGTAAAGTAGTTTAAAGTACAGCATTTATTAACGAGATACGCACAGCATATTCACTAGAGCGATCACAGCATGAAGTTCAAAGCAAGCGTTGGCAGACAGCCAAAACAGTTCTTTTTACAGAGGTATAAAACAGTACTACACACAGCTAAGTGAAAAAGAATTTTAATCATTATGTCTCTGGAACTGAGAAGTCCAAATATAAAAATGATTAATCCTTAATAAAAGAAAATCACTATTCTTGAGATGCAAAAACACAGTGAAAGGTGCACTTTAAAGATAATCCTAGGTTCTGCCTACAAATTTCTAATTTGTTTATCCCTAACAGCTCAGTTAAATTGTCTACACTCATTTCTGCTATGAGAACATGAATTTGTAATTTCAGTCTTTAACAAAATCCTTCTCAAAATGATATTTAGTGTTTGTACATTTAGTTCTTCCACTACCTCTCTTTTTATTTAACGTTTTTGATGCACTTTTGAATATCCTCTTAGAAAATGCGAAAATTGTTTCTTTGCAGACTGCCTCTTTTATTGCTTCGTTAAGAGTGTAGTGGGGGTGCACTACTAGGAGGCATTGTAATGTGACAATCTATCCAAATATCTATCTAGAAATCCTTAATTAATTTACATGTGCCCAATATTTACTGGCCTGAATTCTTAGTGATCATACATTGCGAATTAAACCCCTAGCATCAAGAATAATTAAATATTTCACTTACCCAATAACCCACATGCATGAGACTTGCGGAGACACGTTTCTTTTTCTAATCTCACATTTATTTTATCGAAAACACATTTTCTGGATTAAATATATTATGGTATCACACAGCACATAAAATATCAAAATATCATAACTTAGAACACAAAACGTGGGAACCTAAAAACGAAATAGTAGACGAATACAGAACACATGTCCGTTAGCTAACAATCGCAATTCTCTCGCATCACATATTTACGCAGTCAAAATTTTCTCATATTAATTTTGTGCAGGCCCTCATCTTTGTAGTACATGTGCAGGATCTTTTTTTTTACACTCACTTTTCATTAACACACTTATCATCATGTGGTGACACACCGCTGGTAATGCACATTCTGGAGTCGAACACCTATTGATAATCTGCTTGAGATGTTTTAGAACATTACAATGGCAGATGGATTTTTAAGCTGAGCATTTTCATCTAAATATATCACAACCTTATAGTTCTGCAGCTTTTTATGCAAAAATACGATGACACTCCATGTGAAAATATGCAGGAACGATGAAACTCCATCAGCGTGATCTGCAGGTGCAGAGCCCTGCACAATGTGCGATGTCACTGATTGCCAGGCGACAGCAGGTAGGACACGGGCAAAGAAGGGAAGGGAAGAAACCAGTCTGACCGGTGCTTATATACACACGTGCAGTTCCGTGATTAAGATTAAAATTGCGATGCTGGCAAACTGCGTGGTGTGAGAAATTACTATTCTCACAAAGAGCTATAAATTCTGCTTCACTCGATGATAAAGTCATGTATGATTGTTTTCTACAATTCCATTTGAACACACTGCCTTAATATGCAGAGAAATAACTATTAAATTTCCTATCAACAGGGTCATGGTGCCAATATCTATCCAAATATCATTTTCTAGATACAATTTAAGATTTTTTGTTGATTTCAAATAAATATATGAAGAGTCTGGTAGGTATCAATACATATCTAAGATGGATAATGCAGCTTCTGTATGTGGTCTTGTATTAGTTACTTCAGTGCCTGTCTGATTGCACTTCTATATTCTTCAACATTACTAGAAGCTTTTGAATCTATCTTTTGTTTATAATATCCTGGATGTATAGGAAACATAGATATCTTATAATTACTCATGCAGTACTGTTTCAGCATTTTTAAAATGGAGCCCCTTTGGTCTATGCTGACGATTCCATCTCTGTGTATTTAAAACACATCCTGGAACAGTAATGACGATTTCTTAAAGTTTTGTTGTGCAATGTGACTTAATTTTGATTTCAAATTTTCTAGTAAATTTTATGTGCTTCTCTTCAAATAAAATGTTTTATCCTGCAAATTGAATAAGGAATGGAAAAGGGTTACAAGCAACCCACCTCTCGACAAATGAGAGATGTAAATGAGGTTTCAGGGCAAAAGAATATTACTCTCTTTGTTGGTGATGTGAAATTATCAGTAAAAATAAAAGTATAAGTACCTTTGACTAGAAATTTCACTGCCTTATTCATTTGAAGAGTAATGGCTTAACGGGTTTGGAACTAGGCAGCTTTGCACAGAGATGAACACAGGGCTTAGTAAGTATTCTTGTAATATTGAGTATCATTATTAAATGCCCAACTGAAGCAGTTTTGGGCAAGGGGAAAAGGTCTTACTTAGGGTAACAAATATGCTAAGCCAACCATAAAATGTAAAACTGAAATGAAGGACTAAATGTGCTTGTTACGGTAATGATATTTCTAAGTCCTGTATCTTAAAAGTTTATCATTTATGATTCCCCCATACTTTTTTTTGGTTTTGTTATTACAAATTTAAATTTCTTTAAGATGTTTAATAGTATGTATAAGATAGCTCTGATCTGTTTGTGGTGAATTGCATGCTGTTTAAATAAAATATACATTTCAATAAATAAAATGCTTATTTCTGAAACTCAAGACTGTGCTCTAGAACCCCATCACAAAGAATTTAGAAATTATAAATAATTGAGAATCAGCTACAGTAGGACCTATTTACTATCACATAGAACTGTCAGGAAGAAAATGTTGAAAGGGGAAATGAAACTTTATAGATCTGTTTTCAGATTATACAATTTAATTATACTGTATGTTTACAGCTTTGCAGTATGTAACTTCCAGTGTTACAGCTTTGTTCTATAGGATTTAACCAGGATATGACATAGGCAAGATTGAAGGATAGAATTAAAGAAAAATTTTTGCCACAAATGCAATATGGCTCTGGAGTTTGGAAATGTTAGAAAATGCAGTGTTTTGTTTATTCTCAGAACTTCATTTCTATGATTTTTTGTGCATAATAACTATTTAAAATGTAAATAAACAGGCTGTTTCTGTAAGTGATAGAAAGTTATTCGCAAAAATTTCAGCAAATTCAGAACAAATACTATTTTTTTTAAGTAAAATCAAAAGATTAAAATTTTTGAAAAAAGTAAAAGAACCTGATATTTTTAATTTTAATTATGTGCATTTTTTTCATAACTAATTCTTCTCTGTATTAAAACTGGTCTTTTTCAACTAAGTTTACTATTCACTTTTAAGAATTTTGAAAATTTCTAAAAGGGAATTTTGACTCTTTAAGAAGTTGATTAATAATTCAAAAATTCCTAGATATTGAAAAGAGCAAAAGATGCTTGAAATCGTGATCATGCATATAAGTGCAATCAATTAACTTTAGAGTAAACTTTATTAAATTGATTTAAACACATCCTTTCTTTATTAGTGTACATTATTCAGATATACATCTGATATAAGCATTCAAACTGTATGAAGATTGACTCTCCCATTGGAAGTAATATTTTGTGAAACTAATTTTTTTTTAAATTTAATGTAAAGTAGATGATTACAAGTGCAGTTTGTTTGCTGATTTTGTATGTTGCATTTAAATTTTATAAAACATGAAAATGGACTGCATAATATATAATGAATCATCATCCCATTATGGTAATACAGTTTTCTGAATTCCATGATTTTCTTAAAAGGTTTAAACATTTCATTATTTTCTAAGAAATGCTTCCCAATTGCTGTGCTGAGAAAAGTTCCAAAAAGTTCTGATTATGCAGTGACAGTGCCAGAGGGTTAGGCTGAAAGTGATCAATGAATATTTTAATACAAAAGATTTCGTATAAAAATTATATCAATAGTAATAGTGAAGCTGCAGTGGCAGAAAGGGTCAGACACTTGACATCTGAAAATCCTGATACATAAATAATATAATACTTTTCTCATTCAGAAGCCCCCAATATCAAATAGTTTACCTCTGGAATTAAAGTCCACATTTAATGACATTATAAAAATGGTTAATATAGTCAAAAGTAGCTCACTTGTTATGCTTTTTGCAATTTATTTCATCAAATGGGACTTGTGCATCAATGTTTTTGTTACATATTGAAGTTTGTTGGCTGTTGAGAGGTGGAGTTTTGTCTTGAATTCATAACTTGAGAAAAGAATTAAATTTTTTTAGGTTAACTCTCAGTATTTAGCTACATTAGATGCAAATTACTAGCTGCAGAGAAAAGTGGAGTGTTTAGTTTACATATTTGGATACTTAAAAGAACTTAAAAGTGCAAGGGCCGCTTGAGAACACATGAAATAGCACTGATCAAATCAATGAATTAAAAAACAAAGATGGAAAGATGTGAAAAATGATTTGTTTTCCATTTTTTGGTCAGTAATCGGTATTGTAGTTAGTATCCTAAAAGGAACTGCTAGAACTTATAGATGAATACCTGTCCACCAATGGCTGTGCAGTAAAGTCGCTGAACGCTGGTTGTTCAACCTGGCAACCAGGCAAACAAGCTAGCTGCATGGGCATTTGTGGTTTCTCACATATGTTACTTGGATACAGGTTAGTTTCCTTTAGAAAGTCCTCCACGAAGGCATCCCTTCTCTTCGGCAGAAAACCTTCGCATGCTTTGTCATTATCAAGTAAACCAAACCAAGCCAATCTATCTATGTTTGAGAGAAAGCTTCTTCATTATTTTAAATTAACAGACAAATTCCATTACGTTCAAAATCCATTGGCATCTTTACTAGATCACATGGCATTCAATTTATATGCAAGAAAAGCAGAAGTTTTTAGATTTAAAGAATGAAGGTACCTTTAAGTTGAGTTTAAGGCTGTTCCATAAGCACAGTTCTGGGCAACTGCAAAAATGTAGTTTCTAGCCATTGGTGAAAAAGCTGTAAGCTTTGTTTTATCATTTGCTGCAATATACATATGTAAACAAAGTTACTCTTGCTTTACTATGCTCATTATCAAGAATTTAAAGGTATCTTCATTAAAAGTATTGATCATGAACTGTATTTAGTTCTTTCCAGCGTACGTCCAGTTATAAAAAAGTCTGTATGCGCTGAAAAACGTCAGGATTATTTCACTCAAATAAGATGAGTATAAATAAGTGATGTATGTATTAAACGTGACAAAGAATACTGCATATATTTATATTAATACCCAAGATATATATTTTGTCATAAATTATTATTAGCATATTTATTAATTCTTTACCAAATAATTAATTTTATTTTTGTATTTTCATGTCATAATTTTATAAAATAAATGTTCTAAAAATTTAATCAAAGTTTCACTCAGTTAAATGTTTAGTTCATAGATGTGATATAAAAATCTGTATCAAATTTCAGTTACTAAGGAAGTATTTTTATTCTATTTATTTATTTTTTTTTCATGCTTATGATTGGATAAGAAGATTTATCTGAAGCAAATGTCTAGCTGCAGTGTTTATGAATTATAATGCAAAAATATTAATTGAATCACTAGAAGGGAACAGACAAAATTAATCACGTTCATACAATAGTGTTGCTTCATAGTGTATCATGATATTCTTTATGTTGTTGATATGTGCCACTATATGGAAAACGTTGGGAAACATTGCTTGGGGGTGTATCCTTGTTGAGAATTTTATGAGGATTTCTAAATGCTATGATTTGTTATTTGAAGAAATCATTTGATTGTCATGTAAATTTATATCAGTCTCATACACTTTCTGTTTTGCTAATTAACTATTTTTGAGTGTCACTTAGGAACTATCATTGATTACACCACAAATTCTGTTTTGTTAGATTTTGTTGAAATTTTGTTACCATTTTGATAGAACGTAAATTTTGGCTTGATAGCATTATTAAATGCTTAATGACTTTCTGGCTGTAGTGTCAAAAATGGACTTAAATCTATTTCTTTAATATTGTATTTAACTGCACTGAGAACTGTAAATTTGAAATTTGAAATTTGGAGTTCTGTTAATGTAATTTTGCTGCTTTTGTTTTTTTAAATGTACTTTTTGTTTTTTCTTTAATAGAAAAAGGAAGGATATAAAAGGGTAAGTTTATTATGAATATATCATTGCCATAATTAGATTGATCTTTTGAAAATTTCTGAAGCATGCCTGACCATTCTCTAATTTTGTGCAGAATATCTCCAGTAAGATGTATGATACAGAACTGAAAGCTGCTGTAGTTGTTACATTAGAAAGCACTCGAATATCAGCTTGTTCCTGTGGTTCTTTAGTAAGCAAAGCTAAATTTACAGGTAAATTAACATCAGATCAATCTCTTTCATGTAAATAATCAGTTAAACTTCAGCCACTGTTTAAATGACTTAGCTGATGCTGAAAATATTTTGATTCCTTGAAATTTTTATGATAGTAGCATTTCTTTGCTTAATATCTTAAAATTTAATATTTTAATCATTAATGCTCTGGAGCTAAAAAAATATAACTAAATATAAACTTTACTGGCAAAGATATCTTGTCCCATTAAAAAAACATTCTTAGCTAAATTTGTTTTCTGACAGCGTTAAATCCCAGAAAATACAGTCTTTGTCATAAGTATTCTTAAAAATTGTTCTTACTTTCTGGTAAACTGCAGTTTTGTTTTATTTTATTTTTACATTTTTATCATTTTTGTTTGTGAGTGAGGATGCAACCATATTTGAAAATAGTAATGCATGTACAAATTTTTGATTTTAAAGCAAAATTTGCAAGTTGTGTTTTATCAAAATGGATAAAGATATTTCATCTGCAGAGGACTCATTTGATGATTGCTTATTTGCAAATTTGCTTTCTTAACAAATTTATGCAGCTGATTTTTCCTCTGAAGGTGTAGAGAAAAAATAGCTTTGTCTATAAAAGGTGCAACAAAGGCAACTGAAAGTGTTCTGAAATTTTGTTCCGGAGAAAATACAAGTAAATAGTTTATACACTGTGAAAAACATAACTAGCATTCAAAACACCACCCAAACAGTTTAGCATGAATTATTTTAACAGAGATTCTGTTCTGATTATGTAATTTACAAATAATTGTTTTATTCATTGTGTTTTATTAGTTTAGGTGATATTAAGAAATTTCTTAAGTTAAGGGGAAAAAATAATTATTTTATTTTGCAGATAATTAAATTTCTGGTATATAAATTTTAATAATATTTTAGTTCATCTGTGATTTAATTTTTTATTCTATTAAAAGATTGAGTAATTAATTTTTTTGTCAAATTTCAATCAACATTCTATACAAGAAACATATAGTACACTGTTTTTTTCCATTGGTTCTCCAAGTCATTTAGTTATCAGTCAACTGTATCTCATGAGAGATGATCTGTATATTAAAATAAAATAAGAAAGAAAGAAAGGTGAAAAACTCAAGTATAAAAGGAGTAGTAAAGTTAAATGTGGTCTTTTCCTTAATAGAACGTGTACCAAACAATTTTGAATAGAAGGATATGTAGACTAATTTCATTTTTCCATTAAAAAAGTTCAGCACTAGTGATATATTATTAGATTTATATTCATATGGGGATAGTGGAATAAAGACAAAAACTCATTTGAATAAACCATACCAGATATTTTTGCTTGTTAGCAACATTTATTAAATGTAAAATTTCTGATAACAATGTTTGTTTCAAAATACATATTGCTGTAATATTATGTAAGCACTTTTCTTTATTTGTAAATTGGTCTTTATGTATTTTTGTTAAGTTATGCATTGTTTTTATTTATTTGTGAAGTACATTATTTTGTAATAATTTTTTGTTTAATAATTGTGTCTGTTTATTTATTGTGTTGTTGATATTTTGATTCTAATTTAATTTACTTTTGAATTATAAATATTTCATTAAGAACTAGAGATAGGAGTAGAAACCTCTTATAATGGGGCTTGGCAACAATTTTAGTCATCAGATAGATGAATCTCGGTGGGCTTCTTGAAATTTCCAGAAAAAGCAGGTGTGAAAGCATAGGAGCTTTTTTTCTTGACACTTCTAGAATGTTTACCCTCCCTTCTAAGGAAAGTTTAAATATCAGCTATGTTGGAGCCATGGTTTAATTTAATTAGTTCAGAGCTGAGGTCCTGCTTGTTGACTGCCTTTGCTCTGTCGATGATTCTGGTGATATGCAATATTCTTTTTGTATTAAAGAGAATTCGTCTGAGTTGTGTTTTTCCTGGACTATTTATAGCTGCTTGTCATGCTAAATGAGCTGTTATTTTTTTCTATGAATTTTCAGTTAGTACCTCTTCATCAGGCATAGTTTTAAGGAGACCTCTAAAAGCCAATAACAGTATTGCCAATAAATGTGTGTCAGTATACACTCATGTGCAAAATTAAGAGAATTGTACATTATGTCTTATTTCTGGAAAACTAATGGGCAGATTTTAATGAAATTTTGTGTGAACGTGCATTTGTTGTAATAGAGAAAGGGATGTACCATTCAAATCATTTTTTGCACATATGATTATCAGTAAAGCTCATAGTGCAGGGATGTCCAAAATCTATGCTGTAATAATAAACTCAAAATGTATATAATATGGTGTATGGACGCCTCTCACAGCCAGACAGGTCGTACAGTGCTACAATATACTGGGCAGGAGGTAATTTAGGAATCCCTCCTGCATACCACTCCTACAGCAAGGCAGTTTTCAATACCTGCATGATTCTTGGAGGGGAATGGCAAGGTGAGATTGCTTTTCCAAGAGCATCTCAGATAGTCTATAGTGTTAAGGCCAGGAGATCTTGCTGGCCAATCCATGAGGCGAATATCGTCCTTTTTCAGGTAATCTTTGAATGACTGAGCTCTGTGTGGATGAGTGTTGTTATCCATTAAGAGCAACCCAGGATCAACTGCATCACTGAAAAGTCAAACATAAGTAAACAACTCTCTGTACCTCATAGCAGTAATTTAGCCTATGTGAAACTGCAGGGAGTGCAGCCATCCAACATAATGCCTGCTCAAACAATTACACCTCCACCACCATCAGGATCCTTTTCCTTCGTGAGAGAGGGATAGTATCATATTTTAAGCTCTTTCCATATACAGGTATGCCAAGAATCAGTGTCCAAGGAGAATCTTGACTCATCTATGAAAAACACAGTGCTGCACTGAAGTCTGGTTGAAGGTACTTGTTGTGTGTACCAACCTAAACATGCTCTCTTGTGTGCTGCGTTGAGTGGGATGCAAACAGCAGGTCTTCTGGCATTCAGCCCTTCTGGCATTCTGGTCTTCTGACATTCGTGAAGTCTTTGGGCAACTGCAGACTGAAAATCAGGTTCCAGTGGCAGTATACAGCTCACGTAAGAGCTGTGTAGCCAAAGTAATCATATGTTGCTGCGATGAAAGTGCAAAATAACAATCTTCATTCATTGTTGTGGATCTTGGTCGACTTTGTACAGGTCATCTCAATGTGGATCTAGTGTCCTGAAGCTGTTTCCACAAATTTCAGACAACACTGGGCATTGCACTGAGCTCTGCAGCCACCTGCACTTGTGATTGGTCTGACTCCAAGCTACCGACAATTCTCCATCTCATTCAATCATCCATATGTTTTATGGCTACTTATTTTACATACCTTCTAAAATTTACCCATCTCTTACAAGACAAAGCATAAGCACAAAAATCACTGAAAAGCCCTTGTGCACTTAATATCTGCTTCACAATCACAGCTGCACAGATAAGCACATTAACATTTATGTATTTGACTGTGAATATTTTCATAATTATTCAGTGGCATAACCTTTGGTTCAGTACTTTTTATAAAAATTGACAGAATTTGAAAATTGTCTTAATTTTACCCTTGAATGTATTTTAGTTCTTTGTCCTGTAAGATTTTCACTGTGTAAATATCAATTACTGTAGAAAGTGACGAATCTTAAGAACTAGTTAGCGAATAATCTAAAGTTCTTGTGGCAAGAAACAACAAGATGGAAGGGTAACTAACCCTTTATTATTCCAATAAGATTTAACAAAACTCCAACTTGGAGTGTACAAACAAAGGTGATACTTGGGCTTAACTTAAGAGACTAAGAATTAAACTAAAACTAAGATTAACTAAAGAAATATAGCCAGAGATATCTAGTTTCTAATGCAGTTGACCCCTTAAACACCAGATGACTGTAAAGCTATCAAGGGCCTGAGTACGACCGAGCGTAATAACAGCTTTGAGAGAGAGAGAGAGAGAGAGAGAGAATGGCCAAAAGGCAGATGCACGTAAATCAGAAACTCTGCTTCTCTCTCACTAAGACCAAAGAATTTCATGGTTAAATACCGCTCTTTCTCATTATATATTCAGACGTGATTCTAAAACTAGGTTCTGGCCAGAAGTAATAATTTGAAGTTAAGAATTTCACAGGAAAGGAACTTTAACTTAAAATTTAACTGTTAATAAAATTAACATAATCCTTACAGTACATTGCAATAACTAACCTAAGAGGCATACTTCATACATTTAGAAAAAAAATTAACCACCATGTTTTCCTATAAGAGAAAACATTGATTAATCGCAAGCAAAGGTTTCTCTTGATATAAATCTGCAGCCTTGCTGAGGAAGGAATTTTACTGTAAATCAGTAATTTTGATACATTTATGTACTTATTATTACTTTTATATGCATTTACCTACATTTATTAAACATGTATCATTTTCACTAACCATCAAAAATGATTGAAGATGCAAGGAATAAATGAGAAGAATATGTATTGTTTTAAAAACTGAGGTAATTGCTGTTCTAAAAACAGGTGTTAATCCTTTTAGGGGTTTATGATCACAATTCTGTTAGAATTATGGCAAAATATTTTTTAGAATTTGCATCAGTTATTTTTATTAAATACTTCTTTAAACCAAATTAAAAATTGTGATGATTTTTATACATCATGAAACTCCTAAAACCTAATGTGTTGTCTTTATTTTAACCTTATTTTTCTGCTGCAAATTAGTTTCATTGTGATAAATTATTTTTCTTTTAATTTAGCTAGTTACTTTTTTAAAACAACAGTTTTTTCCTGCTTAGGTTTGTGCATTCGATTTGCTGATGATTTTGAAACTTCTTTGGATGACTGGAAACCTGACCCTACTGATTCAAATATAATGAATTTATGTGTTGTATCCGAAGGAACATATGAAATATGTTCAAGGACTGTTGCTCCTCAAGGAATGAGTAAGACTATATATTTAATTAAAAAACTGATGCAATATTATATATTAAAAAAAAACCGTATTTCATCAAAATGTTCCTTAATTAATACTTAAAACTGGGCTTCTTGAATAATTAGATATTATGGGGTGTAATTTGTTTTATAATTTAGAAGTGCAGGAAATTTTTGGTATGCCAAGTTACCCTAACCTTTATTCCTTTTCTAGTGTAATAATTTGCTCGCAGTGAGTATTGTTTCAGGTGGAAACTAGCACTATTTAATGATGATGGTGACAAAAACACTGCAAGATACAATATTTTTGTGTTATTATCACATATTCGATTATTTTAAGAGGTAGTATTAAACTCAACTTCCAAAAATGATGTAAACTTAAAAGGAATTGAAAAATTTATTTAAGATGTTACTGCTATAAGTTCTTTGATCAATAAGAGAAAAGCAAAGTTCTTCTGTGTGATTTCTAACTTGAATAATTAATAAGGAATGAAATTGTGTTATTTTTTTTTAAATCCATTTAACTAACTTTGCACTATCCATCCCCACAGTTACTGATGTAAGTCATCTCAAATGGTCAGCAAATGAAAACAATAATGATACCTTGCATGATTTAAGTTAATGTTGTATATTATTGAACTGAAATTCGTTTTCCCGTGGATACCAGATTTTTTCTTAGGACGTCCATGCTTTGATTAGCTTTATGTTTCCACTGTGTGAACTGTAAAGTCTTACTTTGTATGCCATATTTTCACAAATCATTAACATTTTAGATGCTTTTTTGTTTAAATGAAGACATTGGGATTTAAAATTCTGAAACAACTTTTGACAAATTATTAAGAGATAATCAAATGCTTTTATCGCTGAAAAGTGACATGTTACTTGATATTTGCAGTGTATAAATTTGCATGTAAAGCCACTTGTAAACTATTTCTTATCATTGCCATGCCCAATGCTTTTTTTCTCTTTTTTATATGTTTCCACACTTGTAACTGAGGGGAAACACCTTCTATAAAAATTTCTAATGCTTTCTTGTATTGAATAGATCATGCAAGATGTGAAGCGCTTCAAAATCAGATTCTAGCAAGACCTATGCCCCATTCAAAATAAAGCCTAAGTTATTTTTAGGCTGATAATAGTATGTATGTATGCATATATGTATATTATAAAATTTTAAGAGGTACAAATAATTTTAAAATAATAACTTTTAATGCCTTTGCTGTTTGGGATGAACAGAAACATATCTAGTAGGCTGGATGTGATCATTGGATCGGTGTCAGGTTTACCTATCTCCTGATGAAGTTTGAGTCTGATAGAGATAAAATGACCATATCATTTTTCCTTTAATTTTCATGTATCTTATGATTTTTGGTCTGATTTGTTTTAATCTAAAATTAAAAAATAAGTAATACTCATTTGGATGCCAATCTCAGCCAAAGTATATTGAATATTTTTCATTCATCCACAAAATTTGCATCTATTTTTATACAATATCTATTGCTTATATTACAATTTATGAATTTGAAAAATTTTTCCATTTGGTTATAATTTAACGTATATTAATTACTATGTGTATAAAATCTGGCTGAAAAGATTTAAGACTGATTGAATATTAATTATCTGAATAATGCTATCTGTTTGCAATTAACCAAACTATGTAGTAAAAAACGTTTTGACTCTAGTCTGCTAATTATGATGAGCTGATATGTTGAGGAGAAAATTATCATTTGGTCTTTGAATGTTATTTATGTTTGTAATCGAATCATATTTAGAACAGATATGAGTGATAAAGTTTTGTGGCAAAACTGCTTGTGAAATTTCTCAGTTAGTAGATTTCAAGATGGTAGGGGAGATGTAAAAGATGACAGAAGGACAGGACATCCTTGCACAAGCCGAACTGTCCTGAAGCTTTAAGCTATATGAGCCACATTCAATCAAGATCAGCTATTAATGATTAGAATGCTTGCAGAACATTTAAACATTGATAAAGAAGAAAGTGCCTGTAAAATAGTTGGTGAGGATTTTGGAAAAAGAATATTGTGTTCACGTGTTTTGCATTCATTATCAACACAAAAAAAAAAAAAAAAAAAAAAAAAAGGATGATTGAATGGCTGATTCTCAGGATCTTCTTAGCAAGCAAATTCGCAGTCTAGGCTCTTTTAAGAAAACTATCACAGGTGACGAATCATGGTGCTTCACCTTCGATCAAGAAATGAAGAGATATAGTGCCGAGTGTGTTGGCCCAAACTCGCCAAAGCCAAAGAAAGTACCTTTTCAAAAATCCAGGGTGAAAACAATGTTAATGGTTTATTTTTGGCCATAGAACATTGATTCACCAGGAATTCATTTCTGAAAGAAAAACAGTGAATGTGCTTTTTTACATGGATGTATTGGATCAGATATTGAAACACATCATATTCGTGCATTCAAACTTCTATGCAAACAAAAAATTGGTTCTTGCTGCATGATAATGCGCCATTCCACAGTGCAGCTGTTGTTTCTGCATTTTTTGGGCAAAATATATGTAGTGTGTTACACCCCTTCTATTCGCAGGACTTATCATCAACAGATTACTTTCTGTTTCCAAAACTGAAATTAAAGCTGAAGGGACATTGATTTGAATGATATGAAGATGATGCAACAAAACGTTATGAGGGAGCTAAGAGGTATTCAAACACACTTTGGAATGACTTGTGGATAGTGCCAACCAATGTATAACTTCATATGTAGAATAATTGTTTTTTTGGGAGGGATTTCACTCATTTGTTTTTATGAACACAGTCCCAAAATGTTTTACCCAGATTATATATTTGGCTTGTTGATGAGAAAACTGCCTAGATGATGAAACTAATTATTTGGCAGTCATGTTTGGGACGATGATAGAGAGATGTAGTAGCCATGAGTAGGATGTAGAAGATATTTTGAAGCAGATTACTGTTGCATAGATTACTTCAGCTTTGGAAAACCACAAAACAGCTGGATAATCCCAATATATCATTATTTCTTGATAACTACTTTATTAAGACATATCTTCTTGATTGGCACAGCACCCCACAATATTAATATAAAACAAATTTAATTTTTAGACAATAGATGAAAACTGACAAGTAAATAAGTATCTGCTTGAAAAGTGATAACAGGGGAGAAAAGTTTTGTGCATTGAGAAGCTTAAATATTTATAAGCTCAGAATGGCTTTTTTGAATCCTAAACAGTGATTGGCAACAAGAGCTTACAGCATCGTGGATTACTGCAGAAGACTAATGATGCAAATGGCACATTACAGAGTCTTTGAGGGGGTTGTATTTGTAAATTGAAATGAGGAATTAAAGGTCTGTTATCAATTAAGTTAATAATTTGTTAATAATTTTATTTTATATTTTATATCTTACATGTACATTTAATAGGGGCTGCACTTCCTTACCCTAAGATTTTTGCTGAAATTAGGTCATGGCCTGTACTTGAAAAAATAAACAATTTTTAACCAATTTACAATTTTAAAGCTGTTATCATCATCTTTACATGCCTCAGGACTATAAAATCTGTAATTAGTATCTTTATTTGAAACTTAGCATTATTATATTTATTCTTCACTTGAAGCTTTGTTATCACTGTCAGCCTTAGTTGCGTCTTCATTATCAGAGGGTCCAAGAAACACTCTATTGCCTTCTGATATGGCCATCACATTGACAATGGACTTCATTTTGAAACTTTTTGTTATCATTCCTTCTGGTATTTTTTTCCATAGACCCATAATCCACTTGCGGATTTGACACGAGAACAGTTTTCTTAGTTGCTTGTTTGGTGATATCTCTATAGCACTATACCAAAAGCTCCAAATGAGCCTTGAAATGAAGACTGATGGGTACATTAAGTTGTTGCAGCATTCCAGTTATCTTTCTGGGGAAATCAGCAGTATCACTTTTGTTCTTCCTTATCATTCTCATATTTTGGTTCAGATGACCCTGGAAGCCATTAGCAACTAGCATGAATTCTGAAGTAACACTGGACTTAGATGCTGAAACCATGTAGCTGTAATTCTCATAATTTATAGTTAATCAGAATTTGAAACTAATGCAGCAGCACCTCTTAATGTGTGAATTCCGATGTGTCATTTTATGTATCTTTGAAGGAAGAAATTTATTAATCAGACGATGTAGTTATAAAAAAGTTGTGCGAGATTGTGTTCTTTGAAATGTAAAAATCAGAAAAGGTAAAATTAAGCTTTCCAGAATTCACTGATGATTGCAAGCAGTATACTTTGAGTGTATCATCATTGTTTTAATAATTCATAAATTTCTAATTTGATATGATGTATTGCTTATTTCCCCCTACTTTTATACTTTATAGATAATGCTAAATGGATTTTAAATGTTCAATGGCAAATGGAAGGTGTTGACATACATCTGGATACTAATATAGGAAAGCAGTTATCTGCCTTGTTCAAAACGCTTACTGCTTTAACAGGAGTTGAAGATGAGAATGATGGCATTGATTATGCAGATGTTGGAGTTGAGAAGACTACTAGGCATGGTCCATCAGTTCAGGTAAACATTTCTTTTTCCTCTATTTTGGGGGGGTATAGAGGAAGCAGTTGTTCCAAATTATAGATAAGGAGGGAGTGAGATGGACTAGTTATCTCTGATTCTATTTTAAATTCTGCAAAATTTTAATTGGATCTTTCATATGTTAGATGGATGACTAAGATTTATATAAAACATTATGTTTATATGTGACTTTTGACTCCAAATCGGGACTTTTGTGGAATTATATGTCTTTTTTTTTAACGATGTATGAATACAGACTGATATAAAAATCATGCAAACAGTTGTATGATTATTTTCATTTAAAGTTTGGCAATAATTTTCAACTCTGCACCAAAATTAGGCAGACTACATATACCAACTTTCACTTTCTATTTTTTTTCTCCTTCAGTGGATGAGCATGAGCTACATAACTTTAGTTTATCTAAACCATGGAGGTAAGAAAGAAAGGAGTGGCCAGCTCGGCACTAAGAGTGAAACACTGCTCCAAAATTTCGGTCTCTAGATGGGGTGTTTTTTGTTTACATTCAGAAGCTCCCTTGACAGCGCTTCGATAGTATTTTGACACACGACAGTTCCATACAAGTCGGAAAACAGGACATTTTTGCATAAAAGAAGCATTTGATTGTGTGACGATAATAGCAATTTGTATAGTTTAGTGAGGTTTACGCAAAAATCACATCTTGATTATTTTTTTATAACAAACAACAGCGATTTTGATTGTGAATTTGTTTTATAAAATTCTAAGCTGTTGAACTACAAAAATATAAATTTTAGCAAAAATGTTATGATTAAAGAATGGAAAATATGTTACGCAACCTTTAAAATTGTATACATCTTTCGGTAACCTTGATAGAGTATTCGCTACTTTTGTTTTATGTTTCAAACGTCAAAATGTTTTAAATAATATTTTTTTTTGTCATCCACATGTTATTGTGACGTACTTTTGAAATGATAATTCATCACCTATAGCTATTAATCCTGAAGAACATGATTACATGTTTCATCCAAATGCTTGAAGTTTATGTGCAGAACAAATAGTTTATTACATATCTGGCCCACAGAATTTCTTCAAAAATTAAATGTGCTTCTTGTGCAAGTGCATTATATGGGCAGCAATCTACTATCTGTTACAAATCGCTTATTTGTTACAAAAGTAAAGAATACTTTATTTATCCATCAACAGATGTGTACATATTTCGTATCTAAAAATTTCAGGTATATGCTAAATTATTGTAAATTACTTTACTGAAAAAATATAGTGAAATGAAAAATATGAAATATGTATGGGTATTTATGCATATGCTTGCAAAAGACATGTATCTGCCTTTAACAAAATACATAAATATTTATTGAATTATTTATAAATGTATTTGAAATGAGGGATTTATTCATTCATAAACACCTGTGAAAGTTACTGTTCATGTCATATTTGAGAAAGTATTTTAGGAAAAAGCTCTATAAATAGAAAAGAAATGAAACATAATTTTAATATTAATAATACAATAAACTTTGATCTTAATTTCTGTAATCCTTAACCAAATAAAATCGAATTACCTTAAAATTTTTGTGTAATGTAATTAACAAAAACTTGTAAAAATATTTTATTTAAATTGTTCTGAGCAAACTGTACTGTGAAAAGTATGCCTTTAATTCCATTCAGAATGAAATGTTGTTTAAAAACGTATTCTTTTCATACACTTAGGACTCTGAAATATTCTAGAAAAAGAAAATTAGGCATTTATATGTATATTTACGATGCAATTACAAAATGCGAAGAACATGATATTTAATAAATAAAGGTAACACGCAAACCATTTTACATCTGATCGTGTCAAAACCCATTGAACTTAATGGTAAAAGACCCAATGTTTTGGTCACCACGAAGGGATCGCCAGTGCTTCA